AATAATCAACTGTAATCCACTGAAAATAGAGTAAGGAACACTGAACCAGAATAGGAAACTACTATAGCAGTTGGAAAGTTACTGTTGCAACCGGAAAATATTCAAAGTGGTCGGAATGAAATAAAAACAGTAGGGGTAGGATCGGAATTACAAGAAGACTCAACTGTTCTGAAGGAACTTTTTCAAAAAATGGCCGGAAGTCCCTTTTTTTTTTTTGAAATCACTATTCACACCGGAAAAATAAAAAAGTGGTCGGAATTTGGTGTAACCTGGATGGGTAGGCTCGGAATTGCAAGGGAAACAATCTGTCCTGAAGAGTCGTCGCCAAAAAATGGCCGGAAGGTGGCCCACGCAACGTTGGAACTTCGCCGGAAAATTTTCTTTGGACAGCTACAGTACCGCCGGAGATTTTCACTGGGATTTGGTCGCCGGACAGTGACTACTCTTGTGGTAGTGTTGGATTTTGTGCACAACACTGACCGAGACAAAGCAGACGCAAAACAACTTTGAAAGTCGCCGGAAAAAAGGGTTCCGGTGACTGATTTTACTTCCCGGAATCGCAGGAATTTATGCACAGCGATAAATCTCTCACGATAGCTCTGATACCATGTGAGAAGGCACGGGAGAAAAATATGATATATATTGATATATTGTGTGTGATGCAATACAAGAGGTGCTATTTATAGCTACTCTATACAAAGGGGATACTACTCCTATTCCAATGTGGGACAATTACATAGCTATCTCTAACATGATATAATTAGCAAAAAGGAGAGAAGGATATGGATCCAATGAATACGGAGCTTGCCAGCGACGAGCAAAGTTTTAGATTTTTCCCTTTTCAAATCCAGAGTTTTGGTTTTTTTCTTTTCAGACCTAGAGTTTTGGCTTTTCGACTAAGAAATAAATTTGAGAAAGAGTGATTAGCGGTAGAGAAACCGAGAGAAGGAGATGGGTCCACCAATCATAGAGTTTGCGAGCAACAACAAAGGCGAAGAGAAATGAGCAGGGAGGGATGGAAATTCTCCGACGAAGATAAGTTTTGTTTTTCCTTTCTTTAGTTTTTCACGTGCCTCAAGCAAGGACATTTTCTCTAGCATGTGGTGTATCAAGCGGTAATAGCTCCATTTCGAACAAGAAGGGAATTAGGCAGCTCACAAAGTTTAGGTGTATAACTGTCTGGGACAAGTTTGAGGGGTGTACTTATGCCTTTTTCCAAGTAAAACTTACCAATCAGGTTTAAAACCCATCTTAAAATTTTCATTTATATGAAAAGATGTAATTTTAAGTTTTCTAAAAATTGTTTCTTGTGAAATGGCAATCTGTTAACCACCACTCCTGGGACGAAATAAGGTCTTTCCATTGTTTTTTCTCTCAAGTCTCTACAGCAGAAAAAATTGGATCCTGCGAGATCTTTTCTTGTATGACAAGAGAATGGTGATGATGGGGAGCAGGCCCCGTCCGGGGGGCATGAGAAGAACCAGGCTGATCCGGGTATGTATTTGCACCATAAAGAAAGAGCAAATAAATAAGACTCCCCTTCCCGACAACGGCTTGGAGATGACTCTAGTAAATGTTTTATTTCCTATATCTGATCACTAGAACTTCATTCAGAACGTCTTTTAACAACATATTATCAGCTTACCAACTACTGTTGGTGTCTAGTACTGCTCTTATAAAGAGAGAGCTCATGGGTGATGAGACGCATACCTAAGCACTATACTGGGTACACTAAAGTGTCACCACCCATAATCTGACTTTAACCGACTTAGGCAACGTTTGTTTTATATTTTCACGGTCCAAACCAGAACCCACCGGGTTGGGCCAAACCAGGCCTACTGAGCTGGAACTGTTACTGTAATTCCAACATGAAACACTCCACTGGCAATGCAATTTTGAGCTTTCCAATCTGATACCTTTCACCGGCACAACCGCACAAGGACCTATGGTTAACCAAGGAAAGTGCAAGGGAAATGTTAATGTCCTTCTCCTTACTAGATCAAATAAGGAACCCATGAACCATCAGAGAGTGCTCGTAAGAGATACCGTTGTTTTTTTTCAACATACAGTTTGTTAGAAAGTTAGTCTTAGTTATATATGGAAAAAGGGATTAATGTAAAGACTAGTGTCCTACATCTGATTAGACGCACAACATACATGGTAAAGTGTGTCCATAACAGACTTCAAACATAAGACAGTTGTCTCGAGCATTCTTCCAATCTTTCTCATATCCTCACAGACCATTTCTGCTTCCAGAAGCAGATTCTAACACCAGTTCCTACTTTGCCTTTCATTATACTCCTTCATAGAGCTTTCCATGTGGATGCATCATTTGATTGGTTCTCTATGCCAATTTGGGCTCCATCTTTTAAACAATGAACGCAATGCTTGATCCTTCAAAGAACTTCCAAATATTAGTTCTTAGTATGGCTCTACTAAATACCCTCAAGTTCCTAAACACTAAACCTTCCTTATTAGGAAGGTCACTGTTTTCCAATTAATAAGATGGTACTCTTTTACCTTCCCATATCCTAGAATATTACCTAGTACTTTCTCCAACCTCTATGCCAGACACCAGTACAGGTGGCAAAGACATGCTGTAAATCGGATGATCCAGGAAACCTATCATCCACACATAATAGGAACTGGAAACAGAGATATTTATAAGGCTAGCTTTCAGAACATATTTACAGTTGGTGAAACCAGGGAAAAGAAAAATAACAAACTTTTAATCAAACAAGCTCAGTTCAAAAAGAGATGAACCTTATCAAGATATAATTCAGTTGCCCATGTGGAAATCATTGTTATTTGGCACTTTTCATCCTTTGAAAGATTATCAAGCTTCCGCAGGAGAAATGTTCTCAATGCATCCTGCAAGCAAATGGTGTTATATCCTGGAAATTTTCAAGTAATTCTATTATTTGCGGCTGTTTTTCTTTTCAAAGTTCCAGATATTACAAGTCAGAAAACTGAAAAAAAATAAAAATTCAGCCGTAGACCAAGAAATACCTCTCATTATAACCTGAGCAAAATTTAATAGTGGCTGGATATGAAGACAGCAATAAGGATCAGAACTAAGATGAAACTAGAGATTTGTTGTAAAAAGAGTATGTCATATCTATGCAAAGATAGGGTCATTATCTTCATGAAGAATAATTGCTTCATAGTATGACATGCATAGGACTGCTAAGCAAGAAGACAATTACGAGAAATTAAATTTCAATGGTTCTAAACTACTAGAATTTTTTCTAATCAGCAAACAATAAAAAGTTTCATTAACAACCAGCACTAAGATGGTACAGCACATCAGTACAAAGAAGTTCCAAAAACAATACTGGAATATCTATTCTACAATCAGCAGACAAAAGCAACAGCATCACTCAAGTCCTGATGTAGACTGTGTAAAATAAACATGGGTATACCATTGTATACGGGTGTTTTCAATTCGCCCTTTACTTAATAATATTTATTACCTTATCAAAAATAAACATGTTATCAAAATGTTAGTATTTTAACAGTTGATAGACCAATAAAAATTCAGTATGCTATGTCTGGGTTTCATAAGCAATAATTTCATACAAGTAACGCAACACTAAATGCAGTAACCTATAATGAGTCTCTGCAACGGACTCCAAATGTGAAATATGAAAGTTCTAAGAAGTTTCTACAGACTAAATAAACCTGAGTCTTGAAAATGGAAGAGTGGGGAAATTAATATTCCTTGATATGAGTGTAGTTACTACTACAGATCATCGCTTCAAATGAGCAAGATCGGTCAAATTCAGATAAATTTAACCTCTTCTCTTTTTTTCCAATAAGTGAAAAAAATTATATTCTTGCATCACCATAAATCAGTGTTCTCTGATAGAATAGTCATACCTGTTCACCTATGCTAATGAACTTCAATGAGATCTCTTCAAATGATAACACATAGTTAATCTGCAACATTCATTTCTTTGCATTAGATAGGTCTCCAGTTCTAGGAATAAATACGGATTACTAGCAAGCCAATTATGTCAAACATAGTAAAAGAAAAGAAAAGAAAAGAAAAGAAAGGGACATAAAAGGGAAGCTGCCTCAACACCGTTTATGTCATTCTTCCTCAAGCAATATCTACGCCAAGGGAAACAATTTTAAGGCTGAAAACATGGTTTCTACAAGGAAATATTCAAGATGATAATCAATACATTTACAAGGATATATTCAAGACGATAATCAAATTGATATAGTATTGAAAATGTTAGGGACAGAATTTTTATGCAGAGAACATTAGTTTTTACAAGGAAATACTCAAGATGATAATCAAATTGATACTGATGAAAATTTTTAGGGATTATCTGTAGCTGACCTTCTTAAGGAGGGATTATTGGTTTTCCCTCGGGGTATTATCGAAGAAAGTATTTTTATTTATCAGAAAGGAAATTTCCAGTGGTCTTTGTAAAACAGAGTAGACATCGACATTGATTGCTACAGCAGTTTGTGGAAATATCCATTTTGCTTGTCGCAAGGAAATTAATAATTGGAAAACAAGGATCAATTTTAGCAAAGTACAAAAAAAACAAAGAACAGAGCATAAATGGAAACTGAAAGATTTGAAAAGCACTAAAAGTGGAAAATGACAAAGAACACAAAATGAAGGAAAAACAAATAAGTAGAATAATTACTTTTGCATAGAATGATGCAGCTCTGAGGAACTCCTTGGCAGCAAAAGCAGCTTCAGCCTGCATCACATTAGGTCTATGATGAAAAAGCCAAAAGAAAAAATTCAGCCTTACAAGCAACATAGTTTCTTTTGTTTATGATATTTTAGGAGATAATATTGCAGCATATATCCCAGGGCAAAAGAATAAGTCCAAATCAGCCGCGACCTGAACCAGATAAACTTGGTCTCTCTGCAGGGCATCACGACAATTAGCCAAAGCTGCAGCATATTCTTTTAAGTCCAAGTACACTTTCCACATGTCACGGCCTTCATCATTTACAGACACCTAAATTCAGATTGTCAATTTCAGAAACTGAAGCAGAAATTTAATGGGCACTACCACATCACACAAGATTCAGACAATAACTATTACCGCACCTGGAAGATGGAATTTTGGTCATATGCATAAAACAACCCAGCTGAGGCATCACTACATAAGCCAAAAATACCTCTTGAAACTGCATCAGGTGTCTGATCAAAATAAAGTTCTTCTACTATTTGTTCACTTATCCGGTTCACCACCTACAAGACGTAAACCATAGCATAACTATACAAGGTATTTAATGGTGAAATGTCCATCCTTCAGAATCAAGTGTTTTTGCTCAATAATTGCACGTTCAGGTTCTTGCCCTTGTCCTAAATCGTTGTTTCTCTGTCTTCTTTAATTTGGTAAAGGGGGGACCTTTCTCATCCTCATATTTAACAATGTAGAACAAGATAGATATTGCAAAAGATAAGATTAAGGATGCAATGCAATCTCATCTTCCCCCATTGTTATAGGTTGATTTCTAGTCAATAGAAAACGACATCCTCAGTGGTCTTCCAAAATGTTCTTCAAAAATATATTAAAATTTAATGGATAATAGCAGACGAAAGCAGATACTATCAAGAGAAACAAATGGAGTCTTTTATGTCAACTTAGGATTAATGTACAGTTGATGAATCTCAAAATTAAATACAAACTTAGTCATCAATACCAGCACTGAAAAATAGAGGTATACAAAAGAAATTTAAGGATAACGTCGCTAGCCTTATTAGGTCTAAGACTTCCACAAATTCTGTTTGAAGCTAAGAATTTGTATCAGTTGACCATTTCTGTTGGAACAAAAAGGGAAATTACATCCTATCTCTTCATGTGTAACAAACTAATATTTGTTTCATATCATGAAGCATTCAAGCTTAGTGAAGAAACAGCTAAAAATTTTGTCAGAACAAGGCTGACGCATATATGATTTGATGCACGATGCACGCTAAAGAACATCCAAAGTGATAAAGTGGAAGAATATAAGCATAACTCAAATTATTGCTTCCAAACCATTTAAGTTACAGGTTCCTTTTTAAGGTAGGTAATTATGCCATATACAACCTAAGAAAAAATTTCATACAATTCCTGTCTTTCATTTGAGCAAAGAAAAAGGCCTAGATATATGTTACTTCTCCTTATAAAGCCCAAGGTATATATTACATAGAGACAAAGGCATGCATGTACCATAATTCCAACTTTAAAAACTGATAAAACGAATTTGATATATTAAAAGGTAGATAAAAGAACAAAGTCATGGAAATACCATTAACACACCTTAACCTTGTTACCTATGAGAAGTAGGAAATGAAACTCGGATACAGCCAGAGAGCTAGGTTTGACACCTTCAACTCCTTCAGAGAATTTAGAGTAGTCCAGAAGAGCTTTGTTTTCCACAAAGTTTTCATCCCCGTTTGGCGAACTACACATGAGGTTTTCAACAATTGTAGAAAATATCAAAAAAACAAAGTGATTTAAGTATAGAACTGTGGAGTTTAAAAAAGAAATTGAACGTTAACTAACCAAGATGTAAACAAATAGTTTTCTTTTTTGGCTTAAAACGAATAGTATATATTTTTTGATAAGGAAAAACGAATATTATATATTATAAGGACAGGAGATGAGGAAAAGGATTGCAACAAAGCAAAAAAGTAAAGGAATAAGCAACAGGTGGTAGATCAACCTATGTTGCACTCCAAATTTTAGGTCACCATGGTAGATTCCTGCTCCAGAAAGCCATGCGAAGTGTACAGCCCTCCTTTGCTTGATAAAAAAGTGCAGTTCACTGAAAAAAGAGAATTTGATTACTCAAACATCATTTGCAAATGAACAGATATTTCCTTTTCTGCAAGTACTTGCAACTGAACAAATACATAAAAAGATAGCAAGTCTAACATGGTGCAAGCTTAAAAGCGTCTTCACAGACAATGAAAGTTGTGACAGCTATAACCAATGATGACGATGAAACATTACTCGCTGTGAAGGAGAGTAAGTGTAAGTGCAGATGAAACACAGGTGAGAATATTTGTCAATCCATGCCAAGACAAACTATCAAGCTCTTGACATATGTCTGATCAACCAAAAATTATTACCATTTCAAGAAAAAAATGCCTGATCAACCAAATCCAAACCCCTCCATAAATCACTTGCAATGTTCGGTCAATCATTCTCTTGATGTGGCAAATATTTGAATGCAACGAGAAGGTATCTATTCAAACATGATTGTGCACCAAAATATTTTTGATACATGAAGTCAGTTCTACTATGAACAGTAAAATTAAGTTTTTGGAAGGCATAAAATGGTTCCCCGACTGAAAGGTGCCTCTTTTTCATTTTCCTCCCAGACTTCGCGACAATTTGTTCAACTGGTTGGAAAAATGCTTCACTTTGCACATGTTGAGAAGCCACAAACGTCTCTTCCTAAACTGTAGGCCCCTTTGATGGTGGCCGGATTCCTCACTTAGCACAAGCGCGTGGAAGTGTTTATTTTCTTTCTTCTAATATCTTCTTTAGTGCCATGTAGAATTATGTGGTTCTAGATCATCTAAAAGCTTAAGTTAAAGACTTCCTTTCCTTGCACCTTTTGACAATATCATAAGTAAAGAACTTGCCTATTAGGTATTTCACCAGGAAGTTCCATGAAATGAACTGTACGGTCCACATAGCTTGCAAAAACAGCCTACACAAGCCACAATGCATCAATTCAATTGAAATATATTAATCATTTGATGATCACAATATGCCAATGAAGTAACAAACTTTATTACAATAATAACAGGAAATAGTCTCCAACAAACAGTATCTCAATTGAGAGTTAAGGCACAAAAGGTGTAATAAATGTTAACAATTTTTATCATTGGTCTGGTGTATATAGGCACTGATGGAGATAATATACTAGCCCAAGATATTACAGCCAATAAAGTATACAGGAAAAGCTGACAAAGGAATAGATCAACAGCTTTTGTACAAATTGATCCTGCAAAGCTGTTGGGAACAAATAAAATTAAGTCCTACATTGTGGTCAAAATTTCTTCAACAATAAACAAGATTCTATGTACTGATAAAGAAGGAAAAGGAAGATCACAAGTAAGTTAGTAAAGCGTACCAAGTTGAGTGTTCAAAGAAGTCAAAAGAAGTCAAGAAAGCCAGCAACAGTAGTAAAGTGTACCCAAGATAAAAGCGCCCAATAATTTCAAATTTCCAAACTAAAGATTCAGTATGGATAGCTAGAATACTTGATACAGATTTCAAGGATGAACTCCCATACCAGTAAGAATTCCAATCAGACATATAAGATATTCTACATAATAACTATGAAAATTGCACAGAAAAATAGAAAAACCCGAAATTTAATTAAGAAAGAAGCTATCTTGGGTATTTCGGTAGCAACGCAGGTAAAGAGAAAGTGAAAAGAAAAGGAAGGAAGTAGCTTGTTAGATGTTGAGGGCAAGGAGCCAGTTAAGATGTGGAAATGATTACTACTAGATACAAACTTACTTCAAGCGAGCCAATCCCTGTGAACGAATAAAGTCGAGTAGGTGTAACAGCCATCACATAAAATCTGGTACCATTGTGCACACTTGCTGTTTCCATCTACAAGGAGATGAAAGGAAAGCAGGCTTTCATTAACATCATCTCGGTATGAAATGACAGGAAGTACATGATCAAATTAAGAAGGGAGTTAAAAGGAAATAGGTAAGCCAGTTGGGGGATGCTTTCTCCTTTTTGAAGGAAGAAGTTAAAGGAATGAAAATAAGGAAGAAATAAACTACAAAGTACTGAACCTGCAAACCGGTGAAAGCCTCAGGTAGTTCTTTAAGTTCAAACAGTAACTTTACGTACTTCTCCATTTTATCCTTTACATCTACAGCCATCTCATAAAGTTGACCATTGTCCGTACCCATAATGATTTCTCTAGTTGAAGCTGAAACCATCATCCACAATTAAAAAGAAGAAAAGAAAACCACAACCATTCTGAAATTTCAGTAAATCGTCAAAATCTTGTATGAAAACACAAGGTGATACCATGATGACTACCTTCTGTTATATGTTGTCTATTCCAGGCAACAGCATTGACAACAAGACCTTTTAATTTGCTTAAAATTCGAGGCTTTGTCCATTTAGCATGAGTATAATATGTATCGGCACCACTACTGCCAATAACAGTGGCAATACAGTGACTCCCTCCAGGGTCAACGAAAACCTTATGAACAGATTGTTCCCCAGGCCTGCCAACAGAAAGATCTATATCTGCAAAAATAGTCAAAAACAATTAACCTCTTTCCACTTATAGATCGTATACAAGTAGTGGAAATAATATGCTTAGATATGTAGAGGTCCAACACTTAATCACAGTCAATACTGGATTCGAGAAAACATTTTCAGAGATCACATAGCTGAAGATATATAAATCTCAATTTTTAAGTTACTTTATAAGCAAATAATGTTGAGCTATTGGAGGTTAGAAGTAGACCAAGTTCAAACTATGCAATGCATCTCAATGAGTCTTTCTCAGTTCAAACAAAAGTTCCAAAAAGAAAGATCATGCCAAGGAAGAAAAGATAAATACACAATAGCAGTCAAGATGTTTAAATTACAAAGAAGCATGACAGGAAACTTTTTAAGATATAGTCCAGGACCTATATTATAGATTTCAAAGAGCTATTGCCTATTTTCTATTTTTTTTTTCTTGGGACAAACGTTTGTCTTGGCCAGATTCTTTGCACCTTGACTATTTCACCAGCTACGGTAGCGACCTGCACAAGTACCGGATGACTCTATCCATCAACACTTACACAGATGGGAAGAAACCATCTATAGGTGTCGAATGTTCATACTGCCTTATCCCACATTTATATCTAAATTCACTCTCCATTCCATACAAAAATGCATCAAAGCTACTTGTTGAATTTCTTGCATTCAATTCTTAACAAATGCAAAAGGCTAAAATAGTGAATGCTCCTTTTTTCTGATAGGTTAAAGTAGTGAATTCTCCCTTAAACCCAAAAAACAACCTAACACAAAGCACATGTTCTACAAAAGAAAGGAGAACGAAGTTGTATCGGAATACAGCAAAGAGTCTTTGTTACCAAAAGCAACGTAAAAGCAAATAAGCGTCACAACCACACAGAAGTACTTAGCAGACTCCTTATTTAATGCAAGCCATTAACGTAGTGTTCTAAGAACCATATAAAAATGAAGGCTTTCACAATTATAAGACCTTCAGACACAGTCAATCGTTCTTGTCACAAAATCTAATTAGTAATTAGTAATTATTTATTATAAAAAAAGTAGCTAAAGGGAAAGTCAGAATCTCCCCCCCCCCACAATCCCGTTCTGCCTACGTAATTATAGGTCAAAATAAACGCCATCGGAAGATGTCGACCATCAAGCCAGCCAACATCAAACTCTGTGACTGTGATAATCATCTGCCTCATAAAGCTCAACTTGAAAGCTTTCAACACTTCATTATGTAAAAGAGAAGAAAGAAAAAAAAAAAGGTAGAGAAAAACGCATAAAAATAGGGGAAAGAAATTGAATGAGAAAGACCATCACGTCAGATTCTGAAAGTGATTGAAAAAAAGCTGTGAAGCGATCAGCATCCAAATGTGAGCACCAAGGTCTGAATGTGATCTATGAGGAGGCATTATTTGCATGAGATTAACTCAGCTACACAAACATTGTCCCAAACCAATTCCATGCATGTTTTTTTTATCAGGAAAAGAATAAATAAATGCCCCCCCCCCCCC